TCTATCTATCTATCTATCTATCTATCTATCTATCTATCTATCTATCTATCTATCTATCTATCTATCTATCTCTAATTTTGTTTTCTCCCCAACAATGAAACTTGGAAAAATGGACACTGGCAGAATTTTTTGGCTAAATAATAATTCACAGATTTAATTCTCATGAACACAGTGATTGAGAAAATCAGCCCAATGTATACTTGCTGTGTGATGCCTTTTAGTGAAATTAGCTGCACTCTGTTAAGTACTTAATGATATACTACTAATACCTAAGATTTAGTCCGGTTTTATTTTGCACAGCACACTAAATTTCAAAACCCTTGAATGAGTTTGCCTCACATAATAAGCCAGAAGAAAAAACAAAGTTAACATTATCAAGCTTAATGTATTCTGTTGGCGGGTCTGAATTTAAAAATCAGATTTAGCCAAAACAAAGACGGCCCTAATTTAAGGCAGGTAACTGTCATCTGCTGAAGCCAAACTCTGGCAAGAAAAGCTTATTTGCCTCTAAATTATACTTTCTATATATTTAATCTAAAACCACTCTAAAACTGGGGGGAAAGTAGCCAGTGCATATCGGGTATAATATTCCATCTTTACTTTAAGGTTCTGTTTTAAGTCCTGGTGATTTCAGTTTAATTCCTGGTGAGATCATTCAAATCATTTTCTTGATTACAATATTAAAGTGCTTGTGAACTGACTTCTATCAGCCAAGCTGACCGAAACCATGTCTTATTTTTATGGAAATTCATGTCTGAAACCAGCAACGGCTTATTTTTATGGAAATTTATGATTGAAGCCAGCAATTTTTTCACTTTATGTAAATTCCGTAAGGTCTGAGAATTGACGGCTGAATAGTAACAATCTTGAGATGCTCCAATATTTTTTGTTTCTCGGTATCAAAGCTAGAGGAATTTTATTAGATTGACGTTGCTGAACTATGATACATTCATTTGGGGCTAGGTAGGATGTACAGGTAATCCTTGACTTATGACTGGTTGCTTAGCAACCGTTTGAAGTTACCATGAACCCTGAAAATGAGGCTTATGACCCAGATTTAAAGGTACAATAGGGAATCACATGGCTGTCATTTGATGGCTTCGCAATTGGCCCAGATTTATAGCTGTTTGCAGCACCTTCTGACCATGATTTACAATGTCTTGATTGATGCTTATTTCTGGTTTCCAGCATAAAAACCAATCCATAGCAAACAATGTTTGCTTAATGACCAACCGTCAGGTCAGGTCACGAAGCAATCTTTATGACTCTCATGACTTACAACCGAAATTGTGGGCTCAGTTACAGGAAGTCCTCAGGATATGACCATAATTGAAAACAGAATTTCCAATGCTAAGCATGGTGATTGTTAAGGGAATCCCACCTAATGTTTATGATCTTTTTCTAATGGTTGTTAAGTGAATCCTCAGGCCATTAAGTGAATCTAGTATTGACTGCTTGTCGGAAGCCAGCTGGGATGGTCCCAAATGGCAAATACATGACCATGGGACGCTTTAACTGACATGAAGATAGGCTGGTTGCCATGTGTCCAAATGTTGATCTTTGTGGCCATGGGGAGAGTCATAAGTCCAAGGACCAGTCATAAGTCACTTTTTCAGTGGCATTGTAATGTCAAACAGTTGCTAAACCAACCTAAGTCGAGGATGAATGGTCTGAAACCAATTATGGTCTAGCTCACCTTTTCCCTCACACAAATCCAGCATCTCTCGCAAATGAAACAGGTTCTGAGAGTTGTAAACTGGCATTTAGGGAAGGATGTAAGCACCCATCTGGTGCCCTTCGCAGGTATTTGGGGCAACCTTGACCGGGAGTTGAGATGTAACTCACCTGGAGGGATTTGGTTCAAAGAAACTGCAGGAGGCCAGTGGGCTCCTATCATAGCAGGCTTCAACCGAAATGTGAAGAGTTCAGGGTTCTTTATTAACCTGAGTATAACAAATAATCATGTGTACAAGGTATAAAAATGGACGTAGAGCAGAAGTACAAGTTACAACACATTGAAGGCTGATCCACATTTCTTTGGGCAACGAGATTTTGAGAACATCACACTTGGGAGACAGTAAGTTGCGGCTGTAAAAAGGTCCTCTCGTTCCACAAAACCCATACAAAGTACATTCAGATACTTAAAAGTTGACTTGTGGAATCAAGGCATGTCCACTGTTGGCCACGGTGGGTTCTTTCCTTCCTTGAAGATCCATGAAGGCAGATGCCTAAACTTCTCAACGCTGCAAAGTTGCCTTCGGAAGGAATCGGGTGACACTTTGCTCCTTTTGATTAAATGAACTCGGTGAAACGAAACGTTATTGGAAACCACGGGAGACATGCAATCTTCTGCCACCAACGGATGTGGGATACATGCAGGCCAGGAGCAAACGGTTGACTCTTCTAAGCGGGTTCCGAGTTGAGGGGTGCCAGATTCTGGTGCTTGAAGTATTGAACCACTTGCTGTGGGAGTTCTGCCAACACAGCCTTCGCCAACGTTTCTTTGGGTGCCTGCAACAACAAGAAAGCCAGAGTGACAAAATAAATCTGGGGAAGGGGACTTTGGAAACGCCTTTTGGGGGGAAACAGGGAAGATAACATGAAACTCTGCCTCAACCACGGTTAATCAATCAATCGGAATAGCTGGAAGGGACCTTGAAGGTCTTCTTGCTCCACCCTCTGCTTAAGTAGGAGACCCTGCATAATTTGAGACAAGTGGCTGTCCATTCTCTTCTCAAAAACCTCCCCCCGATGGAGCTGCTACAACTTCTGGAGGCCAGCTGTTCCACTGGTTAATTGTCCTCCCTGTTAGGAAGTTTCTCCTTAGTTCCAGGTTGCTTCTCTCCTTGGTTAATTTCCAACCATTGTTCCTTGTTCTCAACCAGGTCTTCCTGGCTTCCAGTTGTTGATGCCTGCTGGAGAATCAGAATGACCTTGAATGGATTTATAACCTAGGTTTTGTAACCTTGACTGGAAGATGCTTGGAGGCATCAACCAGCACACGCATTGGCCCTCTGATTTAGGAAGTGAGTTTGCAAACTTAACTGACAAACTTAACATGCAGAATTCGGCATATAGAGTAACAGTGCTGGAAGGGACCTTTTGGTTGTCTTCTAGTCCAACTTCCTGTTCAATTAGGAGGCCCTGTACCATTCAGGACACATGGCTGTCCAATTTCTTCCTAAAAACCTCCAGTGATGGAGCACCACAACTTTTGACAGCAAACCTTTCCATTGATTAATTGTTCTCTCTATCATGAAATTGAGGCCTTTGAACTCTGGTGCTGGAAAAGACTCCTGCGTGTCCCTTGGACTGCAAGGCCATCCAAACGGTCAGTCCTAGAGGAGACCAACCCTGACTTCTCTTTAGATGGCCAGATCCTGAAGAGGAAACTCAAGTACTTTGCCCCCCTAATGAGAAGGAAGGACTCCCTGGAGAAGAACCTCATGCTGGGAAAGATTGAGGGCAAAAGAAGAAGGGGATGGCAGAGAAGGAGGTGGCTGGATGGAGTCACCGAAGCAGCAGGCATGAGCTTAAATGGACTCTAGAGAATGGTAGAGGACAGGAAGGCCTGGAGAAATGTTGCCCATGGGGTCGCGATG